GTGGCGACCAAATTGGTGGTCTGTTGGAAGTGATTCGTGTCCAACGGGTGGACATGTCTTTTGGGTCGACCTCTCAATCTCTTGACACTCACGTGTGGGGTCTTCGGCGCCACCACTCGACTCCTGTCCTCGCTATCATTCATACCTCAGACCAGATGTCACTCACAGACTGATGAGTAGCTCCCGATGAAGACAATCAATGGTTTTATAAGACAATTGATAGTTTGAGACCAAGTGTTGAACAACTTTTTTCAATAGACTTTCACTCGCGTTATGCTTACAGTCTATGACACAGTGTTTCACACAATCAGTGCTATAACAGTCATATCAGATATACTATGGCTATGAGAGCACATGTACTTTGACGGCACCAGTAGCTTAAACACTAGTTGTATAATAAGTTATTATTATTAACTGTCAGCTACCGAGAACACAATGTTATCAATGTAAGTTTTGTGGCGATTTGTGTACAACTATTGTTTACGTTGATTTCAGCGATTAATTGACATTTTGGTTGTGAATATAATTACAAAATAAGTGTTATTTTGAGGCACATGTGCTCAGAGTTTGCACAAAACTAGACACAACTTTCCCTCCTTTCCCTCTACTCTATTCATATTTCTCATTGTATTGCACCTGTACTTTGCGCTCAAGGCTTACTTGTTTGACAGAGCACTGGTAGCTTTGGGATAGCTATGCAAAGTTTATTTGTTTTTCATTGTCAGTGCCATAAACCCGATCCCAATGTTGTCTACATTTGAATGATAATTCTCTTAACATTAGTTTGAAAATTGGCTGCAAATGTGTTAATCAGTGGGTTTATTATAACAGTAAATCTATTAAGTTTACAATTAGCTGGAGTCATTGATCACTTTCATAATGTAATTTGATTATAACGTAACACATAAACCCAGGGTCTAAATCAGTACATTATTATCATTAGTAGCATACGTTTGTATGAACTAGTGTGTTTCATGCAGGGCCTGCACCCTGCAGCAGGGTACGCGCAGGGCAGGGTATACTTGAAAGGCCTGCAGGGCAGGGCAGGGTGCCATTAGGTAACTTTTGGGCCTCAACCTCCACGGACGGCCCGTTCCGTAACCCTCCACTCCAGCCCTACCCCCTCTCATAGACTTAGAAAATTTATTTTATAAATTATTTAGATATGGGGGGATATATAAGACTCAAAATTCGCCTAAAGATGATTTTCTAGGAACTTTTCTATATGCAGGCAATGCAGGCGCCTGCAGGGCAGGGCAGGGTGGTTTTAAAGAATATTTGCAGGGCGGGCAGGGCACTGTCAATGCAGGGCAGGGTGCTAAATTTTATAGTTTGTAACACACTAGTATGAACCTGTAGGTAGACTACTAATGTACCTGTATTGACCTTATACAATTTATTTTATTATTATTTATTATTTACATTATTTGGTGCTAATAACCGTAAAAATATCATTATTTTCATATCAAACTTAAACTAATTATTGAGATATTCATGCATTAAAGTTAGTTTTATTTTATTATCTATTTTGGTATTCATTAGTTTTATTTATATTTCACTATTTTTAAGTTATCAATATACATTATTCGTAATACAATTTATAAATTATATCAAACATCAGGCAAATACAAATCATTTGAATGAATTAAATGCCCCCTAGAATATTTGGACTTAAAATAAATCTGATAACCAATGTCAATTTTATATTCTGGTCAAATTGATGTCCACATTAAGCAATTGTTTTTGATAACACTTTTCCTATCATTTATATAGCTTATAATAATAATACTCTGGGCATTATCAAAATGATTATCTAATATCGATTTATTTTTGATCTAATAGTGAGTTTTTATTGATTATTGATTAGTGTCTCAAAAATACATTTATATCGATTTAAACAAACTTTTCCATATATTTTCAATAATTCAGTGCATATAATGCACTGTTAACTGCATTATAAATGCAAGTTATTATATCTTGAAAAACAATTGTATTTTGAATTATCATTAAAATTATTATTATTGAATTTCATAAACTATAATTCTTGTGGATTATATGACTAATCCAAATATGAAGTTAATAAATCGGCTTACATTTCAAACTCAAACAACATTTATTAACTTTAAATATGAAAATTCTAATATATTGAATGCTATCAACATAATCGACAAATACTGTACAAATAATTACATATTTATTGCCAATAATTTCGATGATTATTGCAATCGAGAGATCAAGTCATCGAAACGAGTGAATACAATCATATTTCACAGATTTATAGACATTTTATTTGCCATAAGATTTATAACTTGTGCCATATTTGCTGAAAATCAAGTGGTAATGAATTTGATGGCAAATTCAAACTATTTACTGGGTAATTCACGCATTATGTCCTTGATATTAAGTCTAATGGCTATCATCTCACTAATTGGTTCATTCATATTTCATTACTTTGAAAGTAATGACAAACTATTTGTCATAAAATTTTTAAATGACATTAAACACAAGGTAAATGTATACCCTTTAAATCCAATATATACTAGGAAGTTTGCTTTCAAAATGAATTTAACATCAAAATATTTTCTAAGTCAACAAATCAATATAATTATCATATTAATAGCTATTATTGTTAGTTGTCCTACGATTGTGGCCTATTTTGATGATCAAACTGATTATTCATTAATTACTACAATATTTTGGACTATTATTACATTTATATCGGTTAGAAATTTTTTTGTCATATGTGTTGTCACATTTATCCTGTGTTGTACGGCATTAATGTATATTTATTATCAGTTAAAAGAAATTAATGACAAATTTATAATGAGCTTTAATTACAAAAGCATTTATATATTAATAAAAACTATTGGTAAACATAATTATGTCTCCAACTGTATAACACAATTGAATGAAATGTATAAATATGTGATTTTTACTATGTATATACTACTTACAACTGCTTATGATTTAATAATATACTTAATACAAAATAGTTATAAATCATCATTAATATTAAGAGTTGCACTTGTTGTCTCATTAATAAATGGTTTTACTATATTAATTATAGCTAACTATTTGTGGGCATCTATTCATAAAATGGCACATAGGTTTAGATACCTATTACATCCATTTCTCATTAAAACACACCTTTCCTTAAGAAATAAACTATTATTAATGCGAATGAATGATATGTTAAGTGGTGGTCACATAGGTTTTACTTGTTGGGAATGGTTCCCGATCAATTTTTATGAGTTTTATAATTATTTATGTCAATTTTGTATATCGTACATTTTAATTGTAAGGTTTGTCCGTGATTTGTGATTTATAAACTTATTGTTTGTAAAATAAAATTAATTAATTAACGATCTATCACTATTTCAACTAATATTTTAAATTATATTTAATCATTAAAAAATTATCTATTAAAATATAATATTTTCTTAATTAACAGTATATATAATATATTACCACTACTTTGTATAATTATTAATTCAAATTCAATATACTTGATTGTCTTTAATTATCGATTATTGAAATATTGACCTAAATTAAAGTATAATTACTTTATATTGATTTCATTGTCTGTAATGTAAGTCATATCATAAATAGTAAGCGTAGTTATATTATTATATAATATATTCAAATGAAAAATATAAAGTATATGTAAAAGCGTATATCTTTTACTGTTTATGAACTCAATGTTCAGTTCTCATTGAATTATTGTTTAACTTATAAATTAATATTTTAAACTAAAGCAAATTTATATATTCTAGTAAATTCATAAACAAACAAAGATTTGATTGATGATAATGTTATTTAATATTAAATATACAATAATTGTATAACTCATATTCATTATATTCAAATATCAATAACTTACTATTATTATATGTTTTTAAAAATATTTTCGTATACAGTACGACAGTAATAATCATAATAATTATAATCAACCTAATTTTCAATTAATTATTTTTATTATAATATTTCACTTAATAAGTAGTATAAGTTACGTAAACATGAATTTTATTAAACAGTCCAAATTAAAAACTCAACAAAAAATGGCAAACTTTACAATTGAAAACACTAATGAATTGAATGCAATGAACAGAATTGACAAATTCTGTACAAATAATTACATATTAATTGCAAACAATTTCGACGATTATTGTAATCATGAGAAAAGATCACCGGAAAGAGTGAATAAAATATTATTTTTCCGATTCGTTAACATTTTAATGGCCATCCGGGGTATCATTTCAGTCATATATCCCGACAATAAAAGTATCACAAACATGATGTCAAACCCAAACTATTTGTTTGGAAATTCACAGATAAATACAATGGGATTAGTACTGATCATAATTGCAACATTTGTGTTATTTTGTATGTATCATTATTTTGAAAATAAATTTGCCTTTTATACCATTGATATTATCAATGGCATCAAGCACAAAACAAACACAACTCGTTTGAGTAAATCAAATGCTAGTAAATTTGCGTTTAAAATTAATTTGATAACAAAATATATGCTAGCTATGCCTAAGAATATTCTGGTTATTTTAGTATCCATCATATTTATTGGCGCAACATTTGTGGCATATTTCAATGATAACACAAATTATTCACTAGGTTATATAATATTCTGGGTATACTTTTCTTATCTAACAGTTCGCGATGTTACCAACATAATTATTATCATGTTCATTTTGGCTTATACCGCATTATTGTATATTAATTATCAATTACAAGAAATTAACGATAAAATGATTATCAGTCTAAAAAACAAAAGTATAAATATTTTAATGGGAACTATCAATGAACACAATTCTGTATCCAAATGTATAACACAATTGAATGCAATGTATAAATATATTATTCTCGTTGTTTATATAATGGTTACGATTATTGTTGATTTACTAATTTATATATTACAATATAGTGTACAATTAATATTATACTTAAAGATTTTTCTCATGTTTGTAATAATCAATTGCATAGTAATGCTGATTATTGTCAATTATTTGTGGGCATCTATTAATAAGAGGTCTCATCAGTTTCGGCCACATTTACACACATTTCTCATTAAAACTCAACTTTCCTTAAGACAAAAATTACTATTAATAAAAATAATTGAGAGATTAACCAAGGATCATATTGGTTTCACGTGTTGGGAATGGTTTCCCATTAATTTCTATGAGTTTTATGATTATTGTGTCAAATTTTGTATATCTTACATTTTACTTGTTAAACTCATACATCATTTATAGCCTAAATGTTTTGTTTAATAAAATAAAATATTTTCAAG